CAGCTGGCTGATTGGAGGTCAGCAGAGAGGTTTTACAGCTCTCAATGCAGGTTGCTATTAGCATCATCCAGGATACTGTAAAACACTCCAGTGCCCAGATCAATTAAGCCGTAATGTCTGGCCAGGAAGGGGGATCTTGTAGTATACAAGTGGCTTCCAGAAACTACCCTGTGTGTGAGAGGGTGTGAAGGCAGGTCTCACTGATTAGGAGACCCCAACATTTTGGATGAAAGCTCCGAAGCCTTTCCCTGAGTCAGGTATGCATCCAAAGCAGCATCCCAGGACTCAGGAGGCTCTTATAAGCAACAGACCAAGGCAGTCAATTGGAGCTGGCCTCGTTCTCTCCCTCCAAGTTCTCTCTGTCCTCCTGGCTCCTTTCCATCTTTCCAGTTAATCCTTTCTGGGTCAGCTTTCCCAAGCAAAGACTCTGATCTGCCAAAACCTAGTCTTTATTGAGCACTTACTGTGTGCCAGGCACTGTGCTTTTGTTGTTAACTCATAGTGACTCTATAGAGCAGAGTAGAACTGCACTATAGGGTTTCCTAGGCTGCTGGTGGATCTGAACTGCTGACCTTTGGTTAGCAGTCAAGCAATTAACCACTGTGCCACCAGGGCTTCTTGGCACTCTGCTAGACATCTCCATATAGTAGTTCCCTTAATCCACAGGTCAACCAACCCTCCCCAGTATACTGCCACCTAAGACCTGGGCCATTTCTCTTACCTGAACCCTTGCTATGGCTTCTGTTAATTTTGGAATTGGTTGATTAAATTTAATCTATTCCTGATACGACACCCCAAGCCCCTTGTGGGCAGGGCCTGTGTCTATTTCATTCAGTGCTGTAACCCAGCACCTAGCACAGGGAACACATGATCTAGAGCAAATGCTCAGCAAACATTTGTCAAAACCAAAGTAACGAATGAGCAACCACAGGAAGTACATACTGTTAGCTCCATTTTATAGAACAAAATGAGGCTCAGGAGGCTTAAGTCATTTACACATATTTCAGAACTGATTTATGTCAGAGATAAGAGCTCTGGTGGCATAGTGCCTAAGGCACTTAACTGCTAACCAGAAGGCTGGCGGTTCAAACTTACCAGCCACTCCTTGGAAGGAAGGTTGGGCAATCTACTTCCGTAGTGGTACCGCCTGGAAACCCAAGGAGGGGGTTGCTATGAGTTGGATCTGACTCGAGGGCACATAACAACAACAACATGTCAGAGATAAGGTTAAAAGTAGATTGTTCTACATTAAACAGGGGGAAAGGCTACATTCAAGTTTTGTTTAATTCAGGAGTCCCACCTGGGGGACAGGATTGTGTTTACCATGGTCATGGCCCTCACCAGCCTTTTATGTGTACCCCTATGACTCCCAGTGTTTGAGCTGCTGAATCTAGACCTGAACTTGCTTGACAGCCACTGCCATTCACCACTGAGAACCTACTGCATGTTGAGTCATGAGGGAAAAGAGAAGATGAGGGTTCTCACATTCCAAGAAGAATGTTTAGTGTCACATAGGAGAAGACATTCACAGATTCATCAGTTGTTCAATGAGGTTCCTTAGGCTAGGGAACAATGCTAGATGCTGGGGTCACAGTAGGAAGAAGCTAGACACAGGTCCCTCCTCATGCAAGCTGAAATCTAGGCGAGAAGGCTTACAAGGAACAAAGGATCATAATAATGGTTTAACTGCAATTGAGAAAAGTGCCAAGAAGTTCAGAGCGACATGATAGCCTGTGGCTGATCCCAGCAGTCTGAGAAATCTTCCTGGAGGAAGTCACATTTAAGCCAAAGCTTGCAATGTCAACAGGAGTTGACCAGAGGACTAAGAAGGAGAAGAATATGCCAAGAAGAGCAGAAAACATGGTCAAAGGCCCTGAGGTGGGGAGGCCAGTGTGGCTGGGGAGCAGTTCAAGGTGATGCCCATGCAGGGCCTTATAGGCTTCTAAAGATCTTGATCTTATTCCAAGGACAGTGGGCAATACTGCAGGGTTCACATGGCCATGTGAGGGGTCAGCCCAAAGGGTATGGGAGAAGACACTTCCTTCCACAGAGGGCCCCTCTCTGCAGATGGCTGCAGTCAGGGGATGCTTCTCTCCCTCCCCACTGCATCCTCCCCAGAACTGTCTTGTGTTAGAGAAAGTCAGGCTGGAGATGACCTGGGCAGTTGGCTTTTCCTCCTTCCCAGGGTCCTGTCACTCCCAGCCTCCCCTGGGTGTCTGTGTGTCTTGCCACTTGCTTGTAAGTTTCCTAATATAGCCAGCCTGGCCATTTCCTCCCCAACTGGTGGCCAAGAGCTTCTCTCTTGTTGCAATCTCAGTCTTTGTTGGGCTTAAAGGGGCCACGTCATGCCAATTTAAGCTAAAGGTGGGTTGAGTGATTCAACTCAGAGATTAGCTATCTTTTTTCTTTTCCACCTCAAACACTGTCTTCTCTGCTCTATTCTTGCTCACTTTTCTTTTTTTCATATCTTTTTTTTCCTCTTTCTTCTGAGAAGTGAAAGGAGCACAGCTAGACATGGACGTGAGTTTGGGCTATGACACATGTATTAGCGGTGTTATCTTGGGCAAGTCCTTTGTCCTTGGTGGGCCTTAAAATACCTGCCGATTCATTTTCACAGGGCTGTGTTCAGATTGATAAGAACAGAAAGAATAATGCTTCTCTTCTAGATTGTATGCTGTTCATTCATTCATTCAACAACATTAATGAGTACCTATCTGGCACTGTTCGAGGCATTGAAGATACAATAATGAACAAAAGAGAAAGAAATTCCTGCCTTTATGGAGCTTACATTCTGGTCAGGGAGATAGTCAATAAACAAAATTAAAAGCAAAATAAATGTTAAAATGCTATGAAGAAAAATAAAGCAAGGAAAAAAACTCAGACTCACTGTCATCAAGTCGATCTGACTCATAGCAACCCCCACTGGGTTTCCAAGGAGGTAAATCTTTACCAAAGTAGATTGCCCCGTCTTCCTTCTGCAGGGTGGCTGGTGGGTTTGAACCACCAACCTTCTGGTTAGCAGTCAAATGCCTTAGGCAATACGCCACTAGAAGGGAGATAGGAAATTTCAGGCAGGGAGTTACAGCTGAAATAGGGTAGTCAGGGGAGGCTTCACTGAGGAGATGCCATGTAAAGATGTGAAGATAGCAAGGGAGCAAGCCATGCAGCTATTCGGAGGAAGAATATTCCAGGCAGAGCAAATGCAAAGGCCCTGAGGAAGGACCATGGCTGATGTGGGAGGAATCAGTAGCAAGAAGGTTTTTGTGGCTGGAGTGGAGTGAGGGGGGCAGAAGAATGGGAGGACATAAGGCCAGAGAAGTGATGGGAGCGAGATAAGATAGGCACTGGGGGCCACTAAAGGCTTCAGCTTTTCTTCTAAGAAGGGAGATCTTGGAAGGTGTTAAGCAGAGCAGTTTGACATGATCTGATTTATATTTTAACAGAAACCCAGTTCTGCTCTGCCTCGCTGTGTAACTTTAGGCCAAGTCACACAACCTCTCTGAACATCGATCTATCTATGACATGGAGATCATATTTGCATCTTCTCCATGAAATCATGCCCCGTGCTCTCTTCTTGTCTGCCTCCATCTCTCTTTGGTCCTCCTATAGCTGATATCCAAGGCTATTAATTAGTTTTTCATGGCTGGTTATTGCAACCAGAAAAGCCTTGATGTCCCTCTCATCCTGGCTACCCCTGCCTGCCATACAGAGAGGCTGAAAGTCCAAGATCTGTGTGGGCAGTAGGAGCACCAGGGACCTCCCCAACAAATTAAACCAGAATCTCCTGCAGTAGAGCCCAGAAATATATATATATATATATATATATATATATATATATATATAATGCACAGCCAAGATTAAGAACATGAACTTTGGTATCAGATGGACTTGAGTTTGGATCCTGCTTCCTTGCTCAAGTCATTTAACCTCTCAGACCACCTAGCTTCCTGGTCTATGTATGAGCATAATCATGGGACCTGCCTCAGAGGACCATGGAGAGGCTTGAGGGAGGCCTGTGCACTGTGCGTGTTCCTTAGTGGGGGCTCTTAATGCAGGAAGGGCTGGGGCAAGCAAGGTGGGACCCTCAACGGGAGTAGCTGGTGCGGCTCCAGCCCTCACTGGAGGGAGTGCAGAAGTATCTGGGGCACCATCCTTGGCCTCCAGAGTCACAGTGCCCCAATTCCTAGAACCCCAACACACCCCAGAGCATGGCCATACCTTAGAAAGCTTTACATCCAACATGTCACTGCCAGACGGGGATATCAAGGCCTTAAGAAAGAAAGGGAATTTTCCAAGGTCACACCATTAGCCAGAGTTTCTGAACAGGTTCAGCCAATCATGCTACAAATACTAATTGAGGACCTCTATGAGCCAGGCACAGTTCTAGGTAATGGTGATAGATCAGAGAGAAAAATAGAAAAGTTCCCTGCCTTCATGGAGCTCCCATTCCAGGAGGAAGAAAGCAGTATTATAATAAATAAATCATATAGTCTGTTAGAAAGCATTATGTGCTGTGGAAAAAAAGGAAAAAGTAGGTCAGGTACACCCTACCTTGCCCACCTGTGACTTTGCACGTTCCCATCACTCAGACTCCCTTGGGCTTGCCCACTTGTGTCCTTGCACACTTGCTAACCTCATGCAGCCCCAGTTCCTGACCTGCTCACATAACTTCACATACTGACATTGAGTGACACACCCTCATGCTACCTCACACATCTGTAACCTTGAACACTCATGACCTCACACACTCCCACCGTCCGAGCATTCACACCATTGCACAAACTCCTGGCTTGTTCACGAATGCCCTTGCACACTCACATGCACTCATGGAGCCTCCATGCATCCGTAACTCCACACCTCTTGGCCCCTCAGACGGCCTCCTTCCTCTCTCAGCCCTACCTCGCCTCGTTCACACCTGCCCTTGCACACCCAGGTCACTGGGTACACGCAGGGACCCCCCCGAGGGCCATCCCACTAACGCACCCTCCCTTTGCCCACAGGGACGTACCAAGGCCAATTCACCAACGGCATGCGCCACGGCTACGGCGTGCGCCAGAGCGTGCCCTACGGGATGGCCGTGGTGGTGCGCTCGCCGCTGCGCACGTCGCTCTCATCCCTGCGCAGCGAGCACAGCAACGGCACGGTGGCGCCGGACTCACCCGCCTCGCCGGCCTCGGACGGCCCGACGCTGCCCTTGCCCGTCACCCCGCGCGGCGGCTTCGCGCTCAGCCTCCTGGCCAACCCCGACGCGGTCGCCCGGGCCTCCAAGGGTGGAGGCCTCTTTCAGCGGGGTGCCTTGCTGGGCAAGCTCCGGCGCGCCGAGTCGGGCACGTCGCTGGGCAGTCAGCGCAGCCGCGTCAGCTTCCTCAAGAGCGACCTCAGCTCTGGCGCCAGCGACGCTGCCTCCACCGCCAGCCTCGGCGAGGGTGCCGAGGGCGTCGACGAGGCGGCGCCCTTCGAGGCCGACATCGACGCCACCACCACCGAGACCTACATGGGCGAGTGGAAAAATGACAAGCGCTCGGGCTTCGGCGTGAGCGAGCGCTCCAGTGGCCTCCGCTACGAGGCCGAGGGCGTCGACGAGGCGGCGCCCTTCGAGGCCGACATTGACGCCACCACCACCGAGACCTACATGGGCGAGTGGAAGAATGACAAGCGCTCGGGCTTCGGCGTGAGCGAGCGCTCCAGTGGCCTCCGCTACGAGGGCGAGTGGCTGGACAACCTGCGCCATGGCTACGGCTGCACCACGCTGCCCAGTGGCCACCGCGAGGAAGGCAAGTACCGCCACAACGTGCTGGTCAAGGGCACCAAGCGGCGCGTGCTGCCGCTCAAGAACAACAAGGTTCGCCAGAAGGTGGAGCACAGTTTGGAGGGTGCCCAGCGCGCAGCCGCAATAGCACGTCAGAAGGCGGAGATCGCAGCCTCCAGGTAGGACCCCACGTGGGGGCGGATGGGGTTCGCCCCTCTCAGGGAAGGAAGGGGTCCTGGGACAGACAACCTAGGGGGACTGTTTTTGAGCCTGTTTCTGCTTCTTTGGCGGTCAGGGATTCTCCACGACCTTTAGCAGGTTAATTGGAGGCATGTCAGGCTCTGGCGTAACCTGTTCACCCACTTTCCCATCCCTCCATCCAACCATTCACCTGCACCCATTCACGCAAACCCTCCGTTCACCTCCCTATTCCATTCACACAAGCTTCCCATCCACCCACTCGGTCATTTACGCGTCTACTCCCTTTCACCCATTCAACTTTGCATCTTTTTACTCACCCAACCATCCATCTTAATCCATCCAGACACCCATCCAGCCACTCACCATTCCCTCATCTACCAATCGCCTGCATTCACCCAACGGCTCCTGTCCTCCCATCCACACCTATCTATCCACCCATTTACCCAATCCCCTCCCATCACTCAGCTACACTTTTGTCACCTTCACCCACCCATCCGATCATCCATCACCCATCCATCCAACCACCTGTATCATCCATTCTGCTTTCATCCGACAAGCATATTCCCATCCACTTTCCCATCCACCCAGCATATTCCTGTCCATCCGTATTCACACCCTGCTATGTCTTTTCATTGTACTTCAAAGCTCTAGTGTTTTCTCCAAATATTTTTAACATCTACTACATGTGTGGTGCTCTTTTTAAAAAGATTTTATTTTGTTGTGGTTGCTGAGCACATACAGGAAAACATAAACCAGTTGAATCATTTCTGCGTGTGCAGTTCAGTGACCTTGATTATATTCTTCATGGTGTACAACCATTCTCACCCTCCTTTTCGGAGTTGTTCCTCTCGCGTTGACAGAAACTACTGCCCCTAAGGTTTCTATCTAACTTTCTTTTTTTTTTTTAAATTGTGATTTGAGTGAAAGTTTACAGAGCAAATTGGTTTTCCATTCGACAGGTCATACGCCTTTTGTTATGAGACGTTGATTGCGGTCTCCACAGTGTAACAGCACTCTTCCCACGTCCTCTCTGTGTTTACCATTTTCCTTCATCTTTCTTTCCTATCCCTTTCTGCTTTTGGACCTTTCTCCCTGGTAAAGGCTGCTCTTTGGTTTCCTATGGTTGATATTGTAAGGAGTGTGCACCTTGTGCGTACCTTCCGTTATTATCCACCTTATAGGCCTGTCTGTGGTTTGGCTGAAAGTTGAGCCGTGGGGGTGAGCTCAGTTCTAGGCTTGGAGAGTATCTAGGGACCATGGTCTTGAGGGTTGCACCAGTCAGTCTCTATCAGACCACTGAGACTGGTCTTTTTTTAAGATTTTGCATTTTGTTCCACATTTTTTTCCCACTCTATTTGGGACCTCCTATTGTGATCCCCTTTCAGAGCGATCAGCAGTGGTAGCTGGGCACCATCTACTTCTTCTCATCTCTGGGTCATGGAGGCTGGGGTTCACGTGGCCCATTAGTCCTGTGGCTAATTGTTTCCTTGTGTCTTTGATTTTCTTCAGGCTTCTTTGCTCTGGAAGGGAGAGGCCAACAGTTGTACCTTAGATGGCCGTACCTAATCTTTCGAGTTACTATTGTCTCTTTGATCCCATATGTTGTTGTTGTTGTTATTTGCCATGGAGTCGGCCCCGACTCATAGTGACCCCTCCTTGGGTTTCCGAGGCAGTATCACTACGGAAGTAGGATTGCCCAACCTTCCTTCCGAGGAGTGGCT